CACTCTTTCAGGGACAGAACTGCCTCACTGACTGCTAGCAGCACAGAAAACATGTAACATACGAGTCAGAAGGGTGCTTTGTTCTCTTGCGCTCTTACCTACGTATTCAGTGAGCGTAGAAGCTGTGAAAACCATCTTCACTCTCAACTACCAAATACCAATTGCATAAATTCAGTTTCCCTTTTCTTAAGTGGGGTGTCCATGTGTATTCAGTAAACTGCTGTGGAGTGTCACCTCCTTGCAAAGCTCAGACACTGTCCTCCATCATTTTAGCCAAGAGGGGACAAACGTTCAGGCTTGGCCTAACTGCACAGGTGACAACACTGTGAAAACAAGTGCGACTCCTCCAAGCACAGAAATGTCTTACCATTATGCATCTCTCTGGCAGCTGGATGGCAACATCTTTTTAAACTATTTTTGTCTTTTTTTTTACCAAATATCAGATTGACCTCTTCATGCCTCTAGTTTCTGAAGTTTATATACTGCATCCCATCAAAAAGAATAGGCACATGTTTAATAATTCGATTAAAACCAAACATTATTTACAAAGGCATCAGTAACTTGACGAGTTTGCAGTCCTTTATCCAGGAGCCTAGAGCTGAGAAGGACGTTTCATCTCCTCCAGCAGATTGCATGCTACAGACCTTGCACTATGGGGGTATTATGTTCTTTATGCAAGCACAAACAACACTTGCAGGCCAAAAGATGAGCCCAGATATCCTATCTGCCCCACAGAGCTTGTAGGGGCAAGAAAAAAAATGCTTGGTAATCCAACAGCCAATACAGGCCATTGTTACAGGACAGATGATAAAAATGACAGCAGGCAGTAACTCACGGAATGAGCTTTTGAGCTTGGGGACTTCACAGATTTCGGCTTTCAGAAAAATAAATCTTTCCTTCACTCATATTTATACCACTACAGTGCTCACGAAACCATAGTCTTTGCTTTTGTTCCTTCCAAACCTGGAGCAAACTGCCATTTACTTTTAAACCTTGCCTTGTGAGGCTGTCCATCCATCCACCCCACTCTTGCTGTTTTGGGATCAGTTTCCTGCAGCTTGCCAAGAGATCTTTGGTAATGTGATTCCCCAGAACAACCACATAAGTCCCCATATGGCCACAGTTCAGTCCTGTTTTGCTCTACAGCCCCAATCCTATTGTGTCTACATCCCAAAGCCATGCTGGTCCTCTATGGAATCACAGCACAGCAGAAATTCATAACTACTGAAGCAGAGACTACTCTGAATTAGTTTTCAGTTCTGCCACCTCAGGTCCCCACCACATATGTGCTGTGGGTCACCCTTCCTCACTTATGAGACAGCATTTGTTCAACTTCTGTTTATTTTTCCAAAATTCCCACTTCCAGGCCACCAGCATGACTTTGTGTCCCATGCTGTGCCAGTGTAGGAGGTTTTTGCTGACATCCCCTTGCAAAACCCTTTGCTGATTCTGTGATGACACCTGTAGGACCCGGCCAGGGTCAGAGTCTGAAGCGCCAGCTGTTCAAGGTCCACATGGCAGATGGTTGCCAAACCCAGTGTAACTCCTGAGAAAGAGAAGAAATTTCCCAGGAGCACACAACTATGTAAAGACTCAATGACAACAGTGTAACTGCGGGATCTTTGGCAACATTTCCCAACTATACACCCAAAGTGCACTGGCAAGCAACCTGCAGGACATCAAGTGAAAGGTCCTTGGACAGCAGCTCACACAGCTACACCAGCCGCTTGCTTGGGTCTGGCCACAAATTAGCACAGTGTATTTAACATTAACCTGCCCTGCCGTTGCCCTTTCCCCTGCTTTCCTTCCCTATGCTCCTCTTCTCCAACAGTACATATCCCACCTTTCATGCCAGCTGACCCAGGCTGGATTTGCCCAGGGTTAGGGCAAACCATGATGGCTTTACACTGCAAACTGGTGCTTGCTGTCATCCAGATCTGCTTTTCTGGCTCATGCCCTAGCAGAGCTCCTCAGGAAGAACAATGCTGGTCAGGGTGGGCTTTTCTGTGTGGTATGCCATGCTTTTTCCTCCAGGTCACTTTTCCTACCCAGTAATTTTGCAAAAGTATAAACTCTGAACGCGAAGGAAAACCATGCCACACATACGACAACCTGACACACTATGTTTGAGGGAATGGGAAGAGGCCTTGTGCAATAGGGAAAGCCTTGGGCTCTCTACTGGGCAGAGAAGCTGCAAAACACAGCTGAAGAATAAAAACTCAGGTAAGGTCTGTCAAAGTAAAAAAAGAAAATAATAAAAAAAATCCATAGGCCTTTGCATCTATTTCTGCAATGTAGTAACGCATGGAGAAAGAATTGTGTTTGGCTGCTTCTGCAAACCACTTCCCAGTTGCTTTTGTGACATATTAGTTACGTATGCTGTAAAGCTTCCAGGAAATTAAGATTGCTCCTCAAAACCCATAGAACTCCTCTTCAAGCAGGAAGATGGGGGTTTTTGTGTGCTGAAATGAACTGCAGTAGCTGCAGTGGGGCGTTTGAAATGAGAAGCCACAGTTGCTGAGCAGAGGAGCCTGGACACCAGGTACCACTGGAACATGTAAGTGCAAACGAGGTCAGCCTGCGTGAGTCCGCTGGCCACTGCTCCTGGGGCTGAGGTGCTCGAAGAGCACATCCTCCAGCAGGGCCAGCGCGGTTGCACCCCTGAGGGATGGAGGTGAAGGCGACCCAAGTGTGAGGACAGGGGAGGAAGGAGAGGGGGAAGGAGGGGCTTTCTGCAGCCCGACCGAGGACTTCCTTCCCCCTCGCCAAGGCCCTTCGCGCCCCTACTAGCGACATCCTCGCAGCGACGCTCCCACGAGTGGCCATGACCCTCGGGTCAGGGGCACAAAAGCAGCGAGCTCGTAGGGAGGAACTAAAGCCACCGAGCTCTGCTCGTAGCGTGCCTCCTCCCGCCCTCCCCTCTGGACAGACAACCCCCTCGAACCCCCACGCCCGCCCTGGTGAACAAGGGCC